AAATGGCATTCATTCGTTTCAAAAGAATAATTACAGTAGTGTTGTCTAGGAGATTGTCAAACGTACTCGCCAATCGATAGAATTGCGTAGATGCATTAAAAAAAAGAAGAAGAAGAAAAAAGTACTGCATGTATTGCTATGCACTTTTGTTTTCATATGTGAAGTACATTCGCCCATTTTTTAAACGATAATATTAAAGTCAATAATTCTCATCGTGTCCAATATTTACATATAGCAAAAAAAATGTAATATTTTTGCTTTGTCATTTTTTTTTATCGAATATTATTTGAAAACGATGCCAAAGCAACAGATGTGAGCGACATAAATATCATTTCTATATATAAAATTTTAATTGTGTTTGATAATCGAAAGAAAAATCTGAAACGTTTTTTTTTGTTTGAATAAGAAATTTTTCAAGTATAAAATTGCGCATTACAAAATTGAGTTGAAATAAAATATAAAAACCAGTATGCTTTTGAGTTTTGTTACTTGTAACGATTGTGACAGCGTTCCATTATATGATTAAAAATCCATTGTACCAACAATATATTTTTTATATATATCTCAGAAAGATGATTTGAGATCAAAAAGATTTTTATTATGTGATATTTGTATTAGTCATTCTTAATTACAGCATATACTGTCAAATAGCTATTTTTTCTCTGAGAATATTTTCAATTTAATAACCTATCAATCAACAAAATAATCGAAATAAACCTGTATTTTTGATCACTTTATACGACATAAATGATAGCTCATATTGCTAGATAGGGATCGTCTGACTTAGAGAATATATTTGAAAATATTCAAAAATTATCAATACATTTAAATTTCTTGTTCTGGTAGATCGTTGATCAAATTGTGTAAAAAGTCGATATTTTCTCAAAATGATCTTTTCTTAACCGAAAATCAGATCAAGAAGTCTTGAGATGTCGTATTTTTTTTCTGATGCATTAATATCAGTAATATACGTATAATATGTATTGTTACATTTTTAGCATCAATGCGATTGAAAATTTTTAATCGGTACTTTGCATCTTATATACAATAGAGTACACAAATATTAAATTTAAAGTCTACCAGTAAAACATTATCACCATATAATAAGCTGAATGATTATTTTTTAACTAATAATATACTAATCAAATATCGATAAAGAACTATTTGTTGTAATATGCACTGACTGCATCAATGAGTATATTGAAAGAAAAGATGGCTGAGTATTCATTGTTAAAAATATAAGATGAAACAGCATAAAATGTTTATATATATCGTGTTCCTTAAATCGGACTTTCGAAAGACTTTAAATTATTCTTTTCAATTGTAAATTTATTGTATAAAACTATTAATAATGAAAATTTCAGTTGTCAGATATGCAATGAAATTATAAATCTTGAAATTATGTAAGTTTCATATATTTAAATTTTATCCATCAGCAATTAATATTAATCTAGGATAAGGGTGTGAGGGTGTGCGTGTGCGTATGAAACTCGTCTTTTACCCACACCCCATCCTCGCTGAACCTTCAAAAATTTCGTTTGTTTTTTTAATTTTAGAAAAAACCGTTAGCTTCCAACTTTACCTATATACGCTTCGAGACTCATTTTGAATCGTGTTTCACAAAGGATAGACTCGCCCACACATTGATTCTGCGAAGAATAAGAAGCAAAAATATTTTTTAAATTAATTTTTCTAATCCCATATTAAGAACGCCGCCACTCATCGAACAACTATGACTTAGTGTCACTGATCTGATTCTGTTTTCCGCGACAAGTTTTACGTTAACTTGTTATGACTTCGCCAAGGTCGTTTGGCTTTAAATAAATACGTTCGTTTTTTACTATATAAATAGGCGTCGCAATTACACATTCTCCATTAAACACTGATAAATATGTTCGTTTCTGTGTCACTCATCTACGTCGTTGTTCTACTGGCCTTTGAAAATGTTGTTGATGGTCGATCAGTACGTACACTTGTAAACTGATAGCAGAAAAATGACTTTTTTTACTTTCTCACTCACTAGTTGGAGACTATGGCCAACGAGGGAACATCCCCAACTGTCGGATCGCTTTGGAAATCGGACTCCGTGCATAAAGTAGACCCTAGTGAGGTATGAAAAAGCTCAAAAGGATAAGTGCCATTTTGAGGATGAGGGTGTGAGTGGGTGTGGGTATGGGTGTTGGGGTGAGTCTTGTCTCTTTCTTTCTTACACACCCAGAATCCACACTCACCCACCCACGCGCCGATATGGACATGCTGTTGATTTTATTTATGTGTGTTAAAAAAGAAAGAAAACAAAGAATAACATAAGGACAGCATAACTGACACGAAAAGTTTTAATGTCCATATTTGAAAATCAAAAAAAGTAAAACAAAATTAAAGTATAGAGATATATATACATGCTCATGATTGAATACATTCAATGATGAGAGAAAAAAACAAAATATAGTAACGTTATACTCTGTCCTAATGAACATATCAGATCATTTACGTATAAAATAATATTTTCATTTAAGAAAATTTCCCCCAACGCGCGTTCGTGCAGAAGGACATATTCTGCACCCCTGATATTAAGAAGTGGAAAATCAACAATAATTGATTTGTTACAACGATTCCATGATCCATTAAAAGAAAAAATTCTTTTTGATGGTTATGATATTCGTACACTTAACATTTAATGATTTCATTCATTAATGGGTCTTATTCAACAAGAACCAGTTCTATTCAATATTTCAATATGTGATAATATCGCTTATGGTGATAATAGTCGAGAAGTATCTCAAGATAAAATAGAAAAAGTTACTTAAATAGTCAATATTAATGATTTGATTATATTATTACCTGAAGTTTGTTTTACAAGCACTTTGTTTTCTATTTAAAAGTATTTTATTTCATAAGGCTATGATATATTGTGTGGAAATAGAGATAATCAATTATCTGCGGGCGTGGGTGTGGGTGTAGATGGCTCTTCTCTACTTAAACCCACACTTTCATCCTCATCCAGCCGAAATTAGATACTTTACCCTTAATATTTTCACTAGGGAAGAATTGTTTAAACTGTGAATAAAATGTTAGTTTCTAATCTTTATTGATTTTTAAAATATATAATCTTGTTCGATTATTTAACATAAAATGCTGATAACAATAATGATCGTCACATATGTGTTGAATAAATGGATAAGTATTCAATAATTGTGTACAATTAACTGTTTTGTGTTTATATTTCCACATTTCATCTTTATGCGAATAACTTTGTGAATAACATATTTTATCAATTGAGAAGTTAAAATAATAAGATTTTGATACTGATTTAAAAAACATTTCAATATTTTTTGGTCCAGGTAACCAAAGTGTACTTAGTGGATAATATACCAGTGGATATATATATTCTTTCTTTATAAAAACACCTGGGTTAATATGTGTTTGATTATCTGTATAAAAATCAATTCCAATAAAAGGCCATTTCCATGGATATTTTCCAACTGATTTAGATGAAATGAAATAAAACTTCATATTTGCGTTAGAACTTAGATAAAATTTCCAATCAGTTGAATTATTTAATAGATTGATTTGAGACAAGTTTGAATAATATTTCATATGTATCAAAATATCAACATCATCATCATATGGTAATATATCTATTTATATTAACAAATTTATTTTTATTTATCAGAAAATATCTTGATATTATTTTCTTTTCTTTCTATCTAAGCTAACAACGGAAAGTAGATATCTACCTAAAGTCTGTTAAATACGATTCTTCACTGGATTTTATTCAAAAAGCGTTACTCAAATATACCATTGTTATGTTACCAATTCACTCATTGTAAAAAGATTAACTGAAAGATTCTAATAGTGATGGTGCGGACGGATCGAGTCCGTTGAGAAATTTTAAAAGTTTTGGGAAAAAATTGACTATTTCATATTTGGTAATGTCACAGCATACTACTATGTAAACTATAGAGATTCGTTTTTAGTTTTCTCGTGAGAACCGATGAAGAGTTTAAAACAGGATCCTTTTGTTAAAATTATAGCCTTGTAAATATCGAATTTTTGTCTTTTATTTCTTCATAAAATAACGAAACATATCAGAGATGAGCAATATCGTTATTTGTTACTTTTACTCACCCTTCTTTCTTTGATTCTATAGCAACCTCTACTCCAGCTATTTATTCCTTCAATTCCACAAAGTTCAGTGTAATAGATATTAGTGGCAACTTCATTCTATCTCTACTTACCAACTACGAAATGTCAGTTCAAGCCTGACAGGAAATGAGGAACTCAGGGAGTTAAAGGAGCTAAGGGAGTAAAGGGAGTTAAAGGAAGCTAAAGGAGTAAAAGACTAAAAAGTGTAATGAAATAGTGTAAAATTGCTCCAAGATAACTTTGATTTCTTGTGGACCCCTCTTCAATGTATATTTTCATATGCTAGTTATTATTCACTATTAATATGCGTCGATAATAAGAATAATCTCTAGTTAAACAGTTTAAATACAGACTGTAAACTGATTAGATTCGAGTGATATTTTGATATTAACCATACTCAAAAAAAACCGCTCAGTTAACTATTTGGTAATAAACAGAATAAAAACTAATAATTACATATGAATCTATTAGATATTAATAAATAAGTTTGATTTTTATTTCATAATAGTTGAATTCTACTCGAAAGAATCTGATAGTTTTCTCATTAAATAAATTCTTTTCACTAAAAATACGTATGAAAGTTAAAATAATTGTTATTTTATTGACATCTGAATAAAACTATTGAAATATTCGTTAAAGACTAATAATTGTAATGAAATATTTACCATGGTGTCTATATGATCCTAATAATGTTCCATAACTAATAAAATATTTTATTGAATAAGTTCGACATATATGATCAAATATTTGAATTAATTTCACATATAATTGATGTTCACATGGACTTAATAAACGTGGAAGAATTGAAGAATTTTTCCATAAGGAATAAAAATAAGGTAATTTAGGAAATGATTCAATTGAATCTTTGTTCATTAATGGTTTAGAGTACATTTTTTCAGAAGAATAATGTTCAAGTTGATGAAATTCTAATTGATATCGTTGTTTAAGTAAAAATTCCGAACAAAAATCATTGGAAATGTTATTAATATATTCAAATGGAATCATTAATGATGTCAGATTAGATGTGGAGGTTTTAATAACATTACATGAAAGATTGTTATAGATCAAACCAATAAATAATAGAATAAATATAATTTTAAATAAAGATTTTTTCATTAGTTTCATATCTAAAAGATTTCAATTAACTTTTTTCAAAATAAATAAAGGTTTAGTTGCAAAATATTTCTTTTAAATGAAATTTTAATAAAAACAAAAGACTTATATTTAATTGATCAATAAAACTGTACCAATAAATAAATGCATTTTTCACTAATAAAAGAACTTCAATAATAAAAATTTAAGTCATCTATCAATACGTACATTTACCCATGTCGTAAAAATCGACGGTTTAATCGCGATATATCGAGTTCTTTTTATCTAATAAAGACGATCCAGTTGAGCCCTCTCATTAACATTTCAAAATTATTTCCTTTTCTCATACAGCGACTGTTGATTATTTAGGTTAATCAATCAGATAATAAGATCAATCTCGAGGGTGTGGGTGTGAACGGCTGACGACAATTTTGAAACTACACTCACACTTCGATAAAGATATTAACATGTCTATATAATAAATATAGAATTAAAACAAAGATCTCAACATATCTATTCTAGAGCATGCGACATTTCTTATTAAATCAGTTGCAGCTTAAGAAAGTGTTCAGAATTTCTGTTTTCCCTTCTCTTGGTCAAAACATAATAGATTTAGTAAAACGCTAACTTGATCGCACTTTTATAGCGATGTTACAAAAATCGTCGATCAATCGCGATTAATTGCCAAATTTTTGCCGAAGTGATATCTTACACTGATTATCCAAAAAAAGTCGTTGATTAAGCGCGATTAACCGCGATTTTGACACAAAATCGTCAATATTTTGAAAACTCGCGATTCATCGACGAAACCTTGCCGATTTCGAAGACATGGGTAATGATCAATAACTTAAATAACTGAAATTTGATTTAATATAATCACAAATAATTAATATAAAATAATAATTTGCTACAATCAATGATAATCAGTAAGGGTAATGCACCAATATCCTAGAATTGAATTATATTCAGGCGGATATAAAAGCGAGCACATCTGGAGAATGTCGGTGTGGATATTCTTCTTATCCACCCACCCTCACACTTACATCCACCAACCACATCCTCAAGGTGGGTTATTCTCAATGAATACTATTCAACAGTCCATACAAATATGATAATTCATCGATCAACTTTTGTAACTCTTCTCGAATAAGTCTAATGTTATTTTTTTTACAAATATTGGATTATTTTGGGTACAGAATTTGAAATAAAATATAAATGAAAAAGATCATTTTCAAATAACAATGATTACTTGATATTTGATTGATCATAACCAAATGAATCAGCACCAGAACATTAACATCAGTTTTTGTTACCATATTAGAATAACAATTTTTGTTTTATGCTCACAAATAATAACGAATAGTCAGAGTTTTATAATTCATCAGACAATTAACATTTTTTCTCTTCTTATTATCAACAAATCTTATACAGAAGAAAAGGACAAAAACGAATATTCGTCATATCACTTTACACTAATTCTCAATGAATAAAAAGTACTATTATTTCATATATCTTTTAATTTTAAAAAGAATAAAACATATTAAAGTTCTATAAAATATGGATTATCTGAAGTTTATAATACATCGTTTTCAATTCAAACGAAGTATAATGATCTAATTCGAATGACAATCAGTATATAATATTGAAATTAATCACCAGAAACATAACAAACAGAATTTTAACGCCACCCTGTCTACAAAAGATTCTTTAGTACATAGGGTAGTCAAAAAGTTTTGCAACTTCGCTATAATTATTCACAGAAACAACGCTGCATCTATCTTTCTGCATCATATATTAGAGGTAGTAGTTGTGATATTTTATAGAAAGTTTCAATCTTGTAACACACTATTGAGATGTTCTCTGTAGTAAACTATTGGTAAAAAACTGACATGCTTGGATAAAACTTCTGCTAACTTTTTGTAGCTAGCGATTATTTAGTCCATGTTGAATATACCTGAACAACTAAGATTCTGGGAGGCTATCCCGAGGTGAGTACGCTTGGTGTGTCTTAGCTTCATCCTTTCCATTTTGAAGGAGATAATGACATTATTTTACATGTTGCTGAAAACAGCATAATGGAAATTGATAGAATAGGAGCGTGATAATGCTTTTTTATTCGATAATTTTTTTATTTGTGAATTTAAACATTTCTCACTAATATAGAGAGTATTAATTACCACTATAGGAATCACCATATGATAGATAATGACTCGGATGTCATAAAAAGTTGATACATACCTTAGTTTCTGACATCGTTAGCAGTAAAATGTCGGCGGAATGACCATTTTCTCGTGTTTGCGTAAGTTCTGATGATGGTTTCGGTTTTATATTGTGGTGCAGAAATAAGTCTGGTAGCTACTAATGATACTACAAAAAATTGCATTTTCCAATCAAGAACTTCTCTAATTTTTTGAGGACTCAAAAAACTAGTAAAATCCAACGTTATCCAAGCATGTCAATTTTATACCTATAGTTTACTTCAGAGAACATCTCAACAGTGTGTTAGAAGACTGAAACTTTCTATAAAATATCACAACTACTACCTCTAATATATGATGCAGAAAGATAGATGCAGCGTTGTTTCTGTGAATAAATATAGCGAAGTTGCAAAACTTTTTGACTACCCTATGTAACAAATCTTCATAAATGATATGACAAAAAAAATAAAGAATCTTGCTAGAATCATATTGACTATAAGATTTTGCATGTAACTAAGGATGAACATGAATGTTGTACTCATCCATTATTCATCTATTTAGGGTGTGGGTGTGGGTGAGTGTGTGAGAATTCAAAGAGCAAATATCCACTACTATCCACTTTCAAGTGCTATAGCTTAATTCTTGTATTTGAAGTGGTGCATATCAGTTTTGGCTTGATTTCTTTATCGCTGATATCAAATATAAATTTCTTAGTAGACGTTTCTGTAATGAGATTGCCTGTTTATGTCAAATAAAGAATATATTAAAATCCGATAAAAAAAGTAATATGAGCTATTATTGACAAACTCTACAAAAAAAATGTGTTTGATAGCTGATAAATAAGTTTATCATACACCTCGATAGATGTGAATCGTATTTCAAAGAAAATAACGTATATCTATCGAAATAAATGTCTGTTTACAACTTATTGATAATAATAAGAGACCGTATTCTGTGATGTTATTATACATTTTACCATTGTATATTTGAAAGGAGACACTATTCTGTAAGAAAAACACATTTTATTAATCACATATTCATAAGTAGATATCACCTTTCTTTTTATATATGTTTTAGTTAATTAATCTTCTACTTATCCTTTACTTTTATCGTTCTCTATAAATATTTGAAGTGAGATAAAGCGAACTTCTCTTGAGGGATGTGGATGAATATGGGTGTAAATAGATGAATAATGGATGAGTACAACATTCATGTTCATCCTTAGTTATATACACACTCTTATAGTCAAGATGGTTCTAGCAACATTCTTTTTTCTGTTATTAAAGAATCGTCTATAGAAAGGGTGGCGTTAAAATTCTGTTTGTTATGTTTCTGGTGATTAATTTCAATATTATATACTGATTGCCATCCGAATTAGATCATTATACTTCGTTTGAATTGAAAACGATGTATTATAAACTTCAGATAATCCATATTTTATAGAACTTTAATATGTTTTATTCTTTTTAAAATTAAAAGATATATGAAATAATAGTACTTTTTATTCATTGAGAATTAGTGTAAAGTGATATGACGAATATTCGTTTTTGTCCTTTTCTTCTGTATAAGATTTGTTGATAGTGAGAAGAGAAAAAATCAAAATGAAGATTTAATTTCACTTTTTTTTTCATCGAACAAGAATACTGACTGTCTGGTGAGTTATAAAACTCTGACTACTCGTTGTTATTTGTGAATATAATACAAAAACTATTATTCCAATATGGTAACAAAAACTAATTTTTATGTTCTGGTGCTAATTCATATGATTATTATCAATAAAATATCAAGTAATCATTGTTATTTGCAAATGATCTTTCTCATTTATATTTTATTTCAAATTCTGTACCCAAAATAATCCAATATTTGTAAAAAGAAATGATATTCGACTTAGTTGATCGATGAATTCTCATATCTGCGTAGATTGTTGAATACTATTCATTGAGAATAGACCACCTTAAGGATGTGGGCTACGAGAAAATACGTCCATCCAGAGTATTTTGGATATTAAATCTTCCTATAAATCATATGATATTTTTTTGAAATTTAATTTCTCTTTTGAAATAAATTTAAAGAAAATATTTTCTTTAAGGATTTTCATTCAATCAACCAAAGTTTTGTCCAACAGCTATCTGGAATTCTAATGGAATTACTTTCGCTAATCGATCGATTGTTGGTGAAAATCCTTTCGCCATTTTTGTGAGCGCAAGCAATACAATCTACGTCGCTAATAAAGAAAATAACACAATTGTAATGTGGGAAGAAGAGAGTGTCAATCCAACGAAGGTCATTACCGGTAATTTTACAGACTCCGAATCTCTCTCTGTGACATCAAATGGTGATATTTATATTGATGATGGATTTAAGAATGGTCGAGTGCAGAAATGGATAGCACAAACAAATACCTTCGTAACAATAATGAATGTCAACTCATCATGTTATGGTTTGTTTGTTGATATGAATGATACTCTTTATTGTTCAATGACTCAGCATCATCAAGTAGTGAAAAGATCATTAAATGATTTTGTGATGACTTCAAATCGTGTTGCTGCTGGAACAGGTATTTACGGATCAGCCTCCAACCAACTCTATAGTCCTCATGGAATTTTTGTTGATGTGAACTTGGATTTATATGTGGCAGATTGTTACAATGATCGCGTTCAGTTATTCAAGTTGGGAGAGTCAAATGGCGTCACAGTAGCTGGAAGTACATCACTAAATCCAACACTTACACTTCGCTGTCCAAGCGGAATTATATTAGATGCTGATAAATATTTATTCATTGTGGATTCTGGCAATGATCGTATTGTTGGTTCAGGCTTGAATGGTTTTCGATGTTTAGTTGGATGTTATGAAAGTGGTTCGCAATCCAATCAATTGTATAATCCATTTAGTTTTAGTTTCGATCGGTCTGGAAACATATTTGTTACTGATTCATATAATCATCGAATTCAGAAATTTCAATATCTGGAAGAATCATGTAATAAGTTTAGAATGCTTGAATAGTCTCTAACATCATTTTAATCAATAGTTACTCTGAAAATTAAAAAGAAAAACTGATATAGAAGATGAAGATGAAACTCTTGATGGATTTTGAACTGAATTATTGAATAGTTAAATTTAAATCTCAAGTTTCATCCTAATATACTATTGTTATAAAATAAAAACCTTGTTTATTCATTATTCCCTACAAAACTCAATCGATAATATTATCGTCATGTCAGTTGCATGATGCAGATGGAAGTTAGAATGTCTATGTGTTTAGTAGGAACGTCAAACATGAATTCAGTCCTTTTTGTTGAATTTTTTTTATAAATTTTCTTTGATTCACCATTATCTGAGCTCACGTATCGCTGCTGACTGTATAAAATAATGAACACAATGGTTTCATGAAGCGTGAAACACTCATGAGAAGTCAGGTTTGCGTCGAATTCCATATTCTAGAAGAAAATAAGTTTTGCATAGTTGTTCAATGTGCTTTCAAATTCGTAGATGTGAAACATCTGTCAGAGAGAAATAACCCTATGCTCGAGCGTTAACCACAACTTGTGGCGCAATCATGGAGATTCAGAATGTCACCTTTACTCTTGAAATGAGAAACTGATTATGTTATATTTGCGGTCATGATTTTCGTTAACAAACGAGAATAAAGCAAACTAAGAATATGCGCAATCATTTCTTTTCTTTATTCAGAATACAAATACTCACTAATTTTTTTGTGATTCAATAGATGATTCATTAGTTATGCAATCAGTGTATTCATCATCACTGACCTCGAATAGTTCAATTTATTTTCAAGAATGTTCAGGGTTAGATTCGTATTATGAAGCGATATAAATGAACGTCACTATAACTGGCTATTATACTTTTCTACTCAATAGTGAGATGAAAACCACGTATGCTTATATCTACACAAACTACTTCAATCCATTCGATACGTCCAAAAATGTCCTCAGCCATAGTGAAAACTCTGATAATCAAGGTCAATTTCAACTCACAGCTATTCTTCAAGCTAACATGACATATATTGCCGTTATAACAACATCTTCTCGGAATTTAATGGAGAAATTTTTAATTCAAGGATCTGGTCCAAGCTACATCGGTTTCAATCGTATTTGTGAGTATATAGAGTATTTTAATAGATAATCAGCTGCACTTATTCATAATCGATAAAAATATAAATAAACTCAATCTACAAAATAATATATAGATATTTCTATTTGATAGAGACTAAGATTCATATCATTTCCAGTGGCTTTCGGTAGATATATCTGTGAGAGAAAATAAAATTTCAAATTATTTACACTTATTTCCATATCATGCAAAATTGAATCGATTTGCTTTTTTATTAGTGAATACTTCATCAGTTGTTCAAACAGTTTATGGATCAAAACTGACAACGAACAGTTCAACATACTTACGTAGTTGTTCAGGATCAAATTTTTACTATGAAGCGATACAAGTGAATGTTCGTAGAAGTGGTTTTTACACTTTATTCAGCAAAAGCAATATGATCACATACGGCTCTATTTATCAAGATTATTTCAATCCATCCAGTCCATATGAAAATCGACTCTTCGGCGATGATGACAGCTGCAAACCTGATCAGTTTAGATTCACCATTGCTCTCGAAACCAGTATCACATATATATTGATTGTAACAACGCGAAGTTCTTATGATACAGATGCATTCTCGATCTTTGTATCTGGTCCAGACACTGTTGATTTCATGAATAGTAGTAAGTGTTTGCACTACAGCTATTAAAGGGATATCTGTCAATGTTAGCACGAGTATTTAGTTGAGTTTGGCATATTCACAAACAGAAACTTGTTTTGCCAGATGGTATAATATAAAATTCAGCATGAATCTCTGCTAGTGATCATGAAATGAAAAAAAATTTTTGTTTTTCATTACAAAATGTCCTGTCACCCAATGTCTATATAATAAAAAAAAACTTCTGCAAACATACATACAATGTAAAGATAAAAAATATAAATATATTCTTACATTGTATGAATCTAAAAGATATCTTTATATACTTTAATTTTTGAAA